TAAAGATAGCTGGACCAAGTCACATCTAGACTTGCCGAAGTAATAAAAAAAAAAAAAAAAAACAAATGATTAAATTCAATTATCTCAAAATAAGATAAAAGTAAAAAAGTGCTGTTTTAATATATAATACCATATATATGATTTTTTTATTGGATTATTTTTGTTTAATTTATAATTGCTTTAATTATATCATTATTATTAAAGAAGAAGTAATTACTAATTAACAATATAGTCAACTCTGGATATACCAAACTGCATGTTTTGGATCTTTTTGTTTGGTATAGAGTAAGTTTATTATATAAATTCTTTCTTTATATACCGAACTGTTCAGTATATAAATCTAGCCAATAAAATCTCTCTTGAACTAAGAAAATTTTAAAAATTTACTCAAAATTTTGTTTCACCTTGCTTATTTTTTTACGTTCATTTATTTTCTTTCAGAATATTTCAGATTTAATTACTTTATAGATATTTGTATCTGCAAAATTATACAATAATTCATTGCATTGAAATATGTATATATAGTCTTGGGCTAGTAAAGATGAGTTCAGATGTAATATATAAAGATTTACTATTTAAGTTTAGTATAACCAACCTAAATTATTATAAAAAATCTGTTCTGCCAAATCTAGTTCTGCCAAATCTAGTTCACTATAGCCTGATTTTGGTATAGGCAGGCTTAGTATAGAGATGGGCAAAATGGTATTTTTGTATAATGTATACGCATAGCATGCTGCATGCATACATGCATGTTATATGCAGTATAGTTAAAAGTCTATTATTAGCTATTCTCGGAGATATATCTAGAAATGTGACCCGATCATAAATTTTATATGTAAAAACTAGTTTTTACATATAAAATTTATGACTGGGTCACATCTCTAGATATGCCAAAAACCAGAAATAGTTCTTTCTATACTTAACAAGAAAAAAATGTAAGGATGCAAAAAAAAATACTTACAGCTATTATCATAATTTCTGGGACACCTGTAAAAAATTGCCGAATGATTTTTCAGTAAGTTATTGATTCAGCACGATCTATATAATAAAATAAGCTATTTATTTCTGTATCATACAATGATCATTTTACGATTGTCATAACAACAATGTTAACGATTTTAAATTTTCGTTCGAATGCTTGTCCAAAAATGTTTGGTGTGGTTTATTTTATACGAAAATTTATGTTCATGTTAACCAATAATCCTTAACAAGACGTAATCGAACATAAATTAGACTTCTATCAAATATATTACTTGAACAGGTGCTGTTATTAAAAGAATCTTGGGTTAGTACTGTATTCCAAGTGACAAAGATATTATTAATATTTTTCAAGAATATATGAAGAATTATGATAAGCGAAATCCAAGTAAAGGTTTTATATGCTTATTGTTTATATATTTTTCGTATTCAGGAAGAAATGAAAATCAATTAAAATAAATAAATACTTTTGTTTAAATGAAAATGTATTTTGCAAAGTATAATTTTTTTAAAAAAAATTGGTCATCTTTGACAAGAAATGAAAAATAAGTAGAAATAAATAAATGCTTTCATTCGAATGAAATGGATCTTACCAAAAAATAGGAATTGAAGTTTTATTTTCATCGAAAAATAATTAGAAATGAATAAAGGCTTCATTTGAATGAAAATGGATAATTGGAATTGTAATATTATACAATTTTTTTAAACCCAAATTTTCATCAAAAAATAATTAAAGAATGAAAACGGATCTTGCCAAAGAATAGAAATTGAAATTTTACACATTTTTTAAAAATCAAATTTTGTCAAAAAATAATTTGATCTTATATAACAAACAATTTTTTAAACCCGAATTTTCATTGAAAAATAATTAAAAATGAGTAAAGGGTTCATTTAAGCAAAAATGGATCATGCTAAAGAATATAATTGAAATTTTATGACTTACAAGTGCGGCAAGTATGCATGTCAATATTTAGTCTATTGCAATACACGTATATATTAGTCATATATCATAATTCTTAGTTAAAGCTGTTCTCAAGCATCTAAATCAATTGATTAAAGAATGATCGTGATAATGCTCAAGAATCACAATCAATGGTGATATTTATAGAATTAAATGCTTGAGTATACTTCTCACTTTAATGATTTAACCTTTTGCAGCAACAGTAGCAACTTATGGAATCATTAGTTAAAGCTGCTTTGCAGCAACAAGAAGTAAAAAAAAATTTACTAAGGTTATATGAGTGAAAAATGGAATCATTATAGTTTGGTTTAATATTAAAAAATGAGTTGTATTAATAATGTTCATATCAAGGTGTCAATTATTTGTTTTAAAAGCTTTAAGCATTAAAAATAAAGTGACTATTTTTTTAGACCGATTTAAAATTTGCTGTGAAATTTGTTGTAAATTTATTGTTTACTAAAATGTAAAAGTAGTGTTTAAGTGATCTTTATCAATGGTAAATTTTTGGAGAAAAAAGGTGGGTTGTATTTCATTGATTTGTTGATTGAATTGGTAACTCACTTGATTGATTTATTTAATTTCTGACTAATTAAAAATTTACTCCTGATCCATTGAGTGAGGTGCTAAGTCACGACAAATTAAACAACTATAGTTAATAAAATTTTAGATAGTACTAATTATAAAATTTTATATTGTCAAAAACATTTATGAAGCTCACATGTAATGAGTGTAAAGTATTTATTGCTCTAAATGTTCTTATCATATTTTGATAGTAATGAATCCTTTTGACTAATTCTAACTAGCATTTTCATCTTTTGTTTGCCTTTAGACCTTAATATATTTTAGTGAATGTTTTTTTTTTGTTTTTTTTTATTTTATTTATTTTTTTATTTTTTTTTGACTAATGATATTGTATTTATAAATTCCTTATATTTATCTTTAAACTTTAATTCCTGGCTTAATAGTAAATGTTTTATATTTGTTTTGCCAACCCTAATGCTTTTTACCTTAACAATAAGCAATACTTTACATTTATCTTTTTTAACCTCAATCTTGATTAACGAATGTTAATGCATATTTTTTTCTACTTCAATATTTCATATTTATATTTTAGTAAACTAATAATGAATACCTTATGATTATTTTTTCATTCTCTAATTCTACTATTTTAATAGATTAAATGTAAATACTTTATATTCTGATAATGTTTATTTTAGCTTCAATTTTATTGCACACTCTAACTATAATAAAATATGTTATGCTTATTTTTTATTTTATCTTTCTTGTGAGCCTTTCAATCACTACAGTATTTATTTATTCACTTTCATAAATGTCACTTTCAGTTACTGAATCTATTTCTGATTCAGATAATTCTACTGGTTTATTCTCATTATCACTTTCTACTAATTCCTCATATTCATCACTATCAGGGTCTAATAATTCAACTTTATTAATTTCATCATTAGGTCTACTATTAAAATGTAATACTGCCTCTGTTAAATCTGAAGATTCTGACTTTGGACATGTAAGTTTATAATTGCTATAAATATACACAAGTTTTAGTACTCGTTGTGGTGTTAATCGGCTTCTTTTTTTATCATGAATATAGGAAAAATTTGACCAATTTTACTCAGCAGCGGCTGATGATGTTGGGATATTAAGAATTCTAGATGCAACATTGCATAATTCAAATGCTGATTCCTTAAAATTTCCTTCCCACCAAGCAATTGGATCTACTTCATCTACTGCATTCCAGGCTAAATTCAAACTAAATACACCAGTTTGAGTTTTATATTGAAGTAATTGTCACCAAATAATATTTGCTTCATTTGGATAATATTTTTAAATAAATGTTGAAATAGTTGACATACTATTGGCTGAAAGTTTTTTTCTATAGTATTGTGGATCTAAAAAGTGTACTATTGACATTACAGATTGATATATTTTTTTCCACCAGTTTTTTAACAAAGTTTTAATTCTAGAGCCTACAGCATAAAAAATATAATCTAAAATAAAATAAATAAATAAATAAAATAAATAATTATATTACAGTATAAATATAAATATATTAATATTTATTTACTATTAGATTCTAATTGTTCATGGTACCAATTATAAAATAATGCTAATTTTGGTGTATCAGACTCAAAAGTAGCAATACCTGCAACTAATTTATCTAATATAGTTAGTAAAGATTCAACATCTTCCCAAAAATTTTCATTATTTATAGTATCACGAATAGTATTAGGTAATATAATATAATTATCATGAGCTAACTTAGTTATAGTTAGTTTAAGAGCAAGTTGGTTTTGAATAAGTGAATTAAGACAAGTTGCTGATGATCCCCATCGAGTTCTAACAGGATATTTAAGAGAAATTTGTTGACTATATGAAGCTAATTGATGACGTTTTAATATAGCTTTTGAAATTTGATGTCATCGAAAATATTTAACTATTATTTTTACTTTTTTAAATATATTTGCACTCCATGATAATTTTATTATATCACCAATTAAAAGGTTTAAATTATGTGCAACACAACCTAAAAACAATATTTCTGGATAATCTACTTCTAATAAACTCTATACCTTTTTCATTACAGAGGCATTATCTGTAATAATAGCTGAAATTTTTGAAATACCTACTTCAATTATTATTTTTTCTAAATCCTGGGCAATTGCTTCACTATTTGACGTATTTCATTAGTTGGATGAGCTGTATAAAATACTGGTTTAGGTGTTATTAGAATAAAGTTAGTCCAATATTCTTGAAATAGATTAGACCATCCATCTGATACAAGGCACAAGTTTTTACTATTATTAATTAAGGCTTCAATATTTTTTTTAGTTTCATCATAGATATTATCCAATAAAATTATTGATAGCTTTTTTCTACTAGATAATCTAAATACTGGCCGTGCTTGTTTCCATAATCTTTTAATTGGATCCATTTCAGGTTAAGATAAAAATAAACCACATTGAAATGTTGATCGTGCAAATTCTAATTCAAGCAATCTTTGTTCTTCTTTAGAAATACGATCTGATGTAATATAATTTGTAATTCAGGATCTGGTTATATTTTTAAAAGATACTTTATTATTAGATACAGATGATGTTGTTGTAACTAAAGAAGCAGGTAAAGATGAAAATGCAACTACAGTAGATGTAGATGCTGATGCTGCAGTAGCAGAAGTAGATATATCATTACTATCTTCTTCGTTATCAAAATTACCAAAATAATTTTTTTTTCTAATGGAGCTACAGCACAGTTTCGAAAATGTGTACATGCTGCTCTAAGAGCATCATTAATCTGTTGTTGATAATAATTACACTCTCTTCTTTTTTGTTTAAATTCAATTACATGTCCTAGTTGAGTAAAATGAACCCAGATTGGATCTGGCATTTTTTTTTTAAAGTTTACATTCTAAATTTTTGATTAAAAGTTTTTATTTTTAAAAAAAATTCAATCAGATACTAATGTAATGACTCTGCTTATATAAGGACAATCAAGACAAATATTCGTAAAACTAGATTTGTACAAAAATTAGACTTATTTCAGTAAAAATTCCAAATAGAAGAATTTAGTTACACAATTTTATCAGATATTCTTCAAATAATTATTACTTGACTAATTTAACAGGAACATGGCATAATAAGCCCAGAAAAATAATTGCCCAAATGAAGGCAAATCAGGCTCCAACTAGCATCATGCAATCCTGAATTTAAAACATATATTTGCAAATATCTGTTACAAATCAAGTTAATACTGGGATTATATAATGCTGATTGAAGTCTGATTTGCCTTTATTCGACTTGTGTATAGTAGTCTAATTAGAGCTGATGAAATCAAAATTTAAAATTTTGTTCTTTAAACGTATATTAATTATCTAGATAACTTTTCAAATTATATTAAATCTCTACTTCTCTTGCTAAAAAATTACTAGTGAAGTTTTGGTCTAGATGAAGCTATCAATAAATAAAATTATCTCTATAATTTAGATATTTAACCTGTCTAATAAGGCTTTTTATTTATATTTATTACTGAAGATGTTTATTGACTTGTACGTATATTTAGGTTTTAACAAGCCAATTACAGAAATTATAAATAGCAAATGAGCTATTAACATCTATGTTTAATACCTGAAGATGTTTATTGGCTTGACCTAGCTTGTGTATTTAGGGTTTAAAAAACCAATTACAGAAATTTTATAATTGAAGATCTGAAAACAATGTATGTACGTGCCTCTTATTAAGTATACATTATTGGTCGAATAATGGTAGGCCGAGGGTTCTCACTCGTGAGACAGTTTCGCCAGTAGTTCACATGCTAATGAGCATTATCACCCTTCAGTTCAGATCCTTCTGAGTGCCACCTTGAAGATTATATCATGTAGGGTGGTGCTCAACAATTGAGGGAGCTTTACAGGGTTTTGATAGCATTTTAATCTGAACAGTGTCAGATATTTGGACTCTTATTATATAACACTCAGAGAACACTAGAGATAATGTTCCTAGGATGCCAGAGAGGTAGAGCTGGAAACTAATTTGGCAAATGAGTACATGCCACAAAGCGGCATGTGCAGCCAATCATTGCCAAATTACCATATTCGACAATTTTTGCCCAATAATGTTGTTATCCGGCAATTTATGATCATGATTGTTTAGGAGTCGCTCGCTGAGTTTTATTTTGAATAATAGAATAAACATAATTACATCATGACATAGGGTTCCTAGGTTCAGTTCAGTTCAAATTTAGGTTCAATGAACCTGAACTGAACCTGAACCTGAACCACAAATT